TATATAGGCAATGTCTCAGCCTACACAATCCCTCAGAGTATTGCTGTTTTCACGAGGCATACCTAACTTTACTAAGCGTCTCATTTCGTTTATTTACTTTGATATCTTCACGATACTTAGAATTTACCTACGCGTTTATTTACTCTAAGGCGTTAATATCGCCTTAATAGACCGAATCTTACATAATCCTCTCAGTACTGTTTTCGCCGAAGGGATTTTATTTAGTGTTTCGTTGTCGCTTTATTAGAAACTATGGTATGTTTCGTTGTCGCTCTATTAGAAACTATGGTATGTTTCGTTGGGGCGAATCCGAGAGACTCATAAAATCCTATCTTTAGAAGAAAAAAGATTTAAAAAAATACTCCTGATGTCCATAGTTATTGCATTAACTAATAACTGGTCACTTATCAAGTTTTACCGACTTAGCCTTCAACAGACTGGTACATCTGGTTGGCTGATCGGAGGATAAACTAAGCAACGCTAATAGTCCTTAAAAACCTATGTTCGGTTGAGCCATCTCGCTACCGAAGTATTCAGATATAAATAGATTTGGAAAGTAATTATAGTCCTATTAATAGAACTAGACCAAATCTTATGTTTGGTATTTTACTGAGGCCTTTTAATGGCCTTGTCCAAATATCTGATATGTAAAATGGAAAAGGCATTAATTAATAAAACCGTTAAAAACCATTTAGGAAACTTATATGCACAAGGTCATAGGCATGAGCATGTGCTCATGCCTATTACCTTGTACATGGCTATATGCAAGGTCATAGCCATGAGCATGTGCTCATGCCTGTGACCTTTCCAAATGGCTATGCACAAGGTCATAACCATGAGCATGTGCTCATGCCTATGACCTTGTACATGGTGTCAGGTGACGATATAGTAGCACTGGTATCAGGCCTTAGGTCTTGGGATGTAGCTTCCGGGCCTTCAGCCGTCACAGCAATTGATTTAGACTCTTGAGCTTTGGCAGCAATATCAACGTCGTTATCAGTATGACAGGCGTCGGAAACTCCAATATCAGTAGTATATTTCATGCTTGAAGGTAAAGGTGGTGGTGCGGCAGGGACGTGCGCACCGCTCGACATGCGCACCGCTCTCTGTCTGTTCCATGTTGCTTGTGCAATGAATGCCTGCTTTAACACACTGGAAAGTGTGATACAACTGATATACTTGCACTTGAATACGATACCATCTATGAGAAATAATATGAAATAGTCAGTATTGAATATGTTCAAATAGTCAAAACATAAAAGCCCGCCCATAAATTTTAGAAAGATGTGCGCGGACCAATAGATTCTAGCTGTTTATTCTAACCAATCAATGGAGTTTTAGGATAAACAGAAATAGAGTTGACAACGGCCCACTATTTCAACGGATTCACGCCAGGGATGTTAACTGGACAATTACTCCGGACAGTCCAAATAAAAAGTGCCTGTCCAGACGTTCGGAGCCCTGAAGTTTGATTGTCCAATTATCCTATAAAAAATATTCAATTGTCCATGGACAGGCCATCGTCCAATGTCCGTCCATTTGTCCAACACGAAATGATATGGTTCTAGAAATGATATGATTATATTTTGGCGGGTTTGATCGTTATACATTGAAACTGTTAACCAATCAAATATAAGTCCCGTAGAATACTTGTTGAAATTTGTCAACTGAAAGTGAATTTGTACAGAAACACATTCAAAATATTCGTAATCATAAACATAAGTCATAAGACATAAGTATCAGTTTATATGTGATAATTCTATGCAACTATAATTCTATGTAACTAAACATAGAAAATTTTGTAACTGAATCGATGAACAAAGAAGTGTAGTTGCTCTGCAGCAGTTTCTTGGCGCCTACCATCTTCACCTCTTGATAACTATGCAACGCAGAGAAAAATTAGCAGCAGCATGTACAAAACTTCGTTTACGCAAATATGGTGTTGGCAGGAAAGAAAAGTGGTAATTATGGACCGGTATGTTGTATTGTGACTTCTCATTCTAGTCATATAAATGTAGGTCGCCACTTGCCTAATCACAATGACAAATATTTTGTGATTCCTTATTGAATTGAATGAACTGAACTGAAGAGTGCTAATCAGGTAATGTAATGTGTGTTTATAGGGCATAGAGGTTTTGTGCACCTCTTTATATAAGTAGTCGGTATTCAATAGCAGAGCTAATTTTGAATTTTATAAATAACATCGAGCTATTTTTTTAATATTTTAATGCCCCCACAGTTCCCGAGGTTACTAAGACATAGACGCCGACGACGACCCTGTTGGTGTAGATCGAAGACTTTGCTTACACCGAACGAAGATGAGTCGACCTGCACTGATAGCGAGGATATTGTCATCAAGTGTTGCTGCGAGAGGGTATCTGGACGTATTTTGTGTGAAGGTTGTGGCCGACCGCTACATATGCAGTGCGGTACGAAGACTGGACGAACAGCACGAGGGATAGGCAGCTACGAGCGACTTCGTTATTGCCAGTCGCCTTGCCAACCCCCGAAAATCAAACCAGCGGCAACGACGACTGTGTATAAGGCGCCGAGTGCAACATACAAAAATTCTACTATCCGAACCAATTCATCTAGGAGATGCATTTTCCGAAATAACGAGATGTCTAAGCAAGTAGGCAAGAAGCAGATAACGTCGGGACTGATGTTGATGCGGAGCGGGGAAAGCAGTGGTAGTGACAATATTCCTACACTACCTGTACGCGATGGCAATAGACATCGATATGATCAGTCTCGATCTAAAAAGAGAGGTACATCAAACCGAGCGAAAGCTGTTTTAGCCAAAGCTTCTAACCCGATGGCAACAAATGATAGTAACAGTGATATAACGATACAGTCTGGCATTGACGGCGAGAACATAAACATGCCTGATATTCTTAGCTCTATCGATGATGATGAACATGCTTTCGACGCCCAAGTTGATAGTGTCACATTTGAGATTAAGCGAAAGAAGAAATTGGGTCTGGATGAAGATTCTGAGCTCGATATTGTCAGCGACAGTAGCGATGACGATGCTGACAAACCTACACCAGTAGAGAAGCAGCGTAATAGTAAGCGTGCTGCCCAATATGAACACATCGTGAATACTATCAATAAGAAATTAAAGTTTGGGCACGACTTAGTGGCATCAGCTTCCGCAGCGCCTCGGCCAGGGCCGCCCGACGGAATGGCATATTGTGCGACTGGAAATCAATGCATAGTAGTAGGAAGACTGGTTAAACCCGGCAATCATGAGTGTGTTGGTTGTAAGATGCCGATTCATGCCATCTGTGGCAAAACTTCTACTCAGGGGTACGGCGGTCAAGGTTTTTGCCTCGGTCCTGCTTCTGCCTGCAAAGGTGAGACTGGAACACAGCAGTCAGAAGCTATCGACTTGGACATGGTGATTGAAGTATCAGACGATGAAAAAGAAGAGGAAGACCGGGCGAAGACAGCAATAGCAGCAGCTAGAGCTGTCAAACGAGCAGCAGTCAACCCATTCGCAATATCTAAGGTGTCTGGTCGAGGAATTTTGAATGTTAGTAGTATAGATAATGTACCGAAATTCCCACCGAAGGATAAAAAGACTGTGTTGCCTAAACACGTAAATGGCAACAACAGCAGTGGCTATTTCTCAGAGCTGTCACCCTATGTCAGCTCAGATTCTTCTGACAGCTCAGGTGTTCAAATCCCCAGGGACATCATGATGGAAAGGCTTGCTTCTGGCGAGTACATAATCAGTACGATGGCGAACTACAGATCTGAAGCCTGGAAATTCTTTGGATACGTCGTCGATAACAACGGTATCCCAGTACGCTCTACACATGACACCGTCTGGATCAACTGTCGATTTTGTGTGAAGTATCCGATTCATTATCGAAAACATGGAGGAACCACTCCGTTAAACAGACATGTAATTTCTTGTCCGAATCCGCCAGAAGGGCTGGTCCATACAAAGAAAGAGGCTGTAAGTGTAGCGGACAAAACCCAGATACGGAACTCCATCGTTGAACTTCTGCCTACTCGCAAGTGGTCCATGCTTGCGATGGCTTCTCCCGATTTCCCTATCTTTCTGGATCAGTACTATCGAGTGCGCAAGAAGTATTCAGACGCTACAAATGCAGGCCACCTCATTCCCTCTCGGAAGACAATGTCCCTTGACACGGAGCGCGTAGTGATGGAAGTCTATACAAAGGAGATTGGCAAGCTTCAAGAGCAGAGCAAGTATATGGGTCTCTCAATCGTTGTCGATTATTGGACAGATAGATATACTCAACTTCACTACGCTAGCTCGATGTATAGTTGTGTTGATCGTAAATTCCAGATGACAACAGGCTACTTAGAAACAAGAACGAAATGTCTCGCACAGGTACGTACGTGCAGCAAGAGCTCGAAGAGTTGTTACAACGTCATTCTTTAGATGATAAACAAATCGTTTGGCAAGCAGATAGAGGCCCGAATATTACAGCAGCCTTACATCAGTACGATTTTACTCCATTGGATAATGAAGAAATGGACACTGAGCTTATGCGGCTCAGTTGCCGTGACCACTGCTTACATAATATTCACAAGCCCGTGTTCACAAAAATGGCTAGGGATAATAATCTTGGTATGCCGGAAATTCCTTATATTGCGATGGAGTACATCAATACTTGTAAAAAATTGGTGCCGTTCATCAAGCAGAGTACCAAGTATGCAGACGCACTTTCTTCCAGACTCTGTCAAGAAGTTGAAACGCGCTGGATGACCGTCCGAAAGCTCTTGGTATCCGTTGACAAAGTATTCTACGAGGTGTGTATAGTTGACTTTGTTAGGTTTATAATCTTGTATATACGCATAATTTATTGCATAGTTTAATCGTTTATATTCATGTTTCGTCTATATTCATGATTCGTTCATATAGCTCAAAGAACTGGCTGGCCATTCCGAAGAAATTGATGAGATGGTAGCCGTCCTCGACAAGAAGGTGGGTGAATCCATTATTGACTTTTTAGAGGGTCTTGACATGGTACTTCTTCAATTGGAGGCTACCCTAGAACCTACATTGCATAAGGTGATCTCGCTATTCGAAATGTTGCGGATACATCACACTGAGGTCACCGAGAACGATCCGCAATTTATTGTTGTGTTGAAAACTAGATTACGTGTGCTGTTAGATCATCGAGTGTCTTTCTATCATCCTTTAGAGTTGGTTGCCGTGGTGCTGAATTCTCAGACCAAGAATATGAGTTCTCACCTTTTAGCTAACTATCAGACAGAAGCAATGAAATGGTTCAATTATGTATTAGAGAATATGTCAGAGATAGTAAAAGGCACAGATGCTAGTGTAATTAATCTCTGTCCAAATGGTCGTACTTCAAATTCACGCGCACGAGCTAATAAGACTTCAACGGATATGTTCTCTATTCTCTATGGACGATGGAGGGCCTGAGAATGAGAAGGTTGATATTGAGGTTGAGAGCTATCTAAGTCATGTATTCACCTCAAATACACTGAAGATTTATGTGGACATAGTACCCTAGGCGGATATTTAAGACCGGACGTGAGGACCGGACTAGAGAGAGGAATTTAGGACCGGACCAGAGGACCGGACCTAGAGGATTATTTGAGGACCGGACCAGAGGACCGGACCGATTAGTGGAATAGAGAATTTAATGAGATAAAAGTGATGACTCATATGAAACCATAGAGACCGGTATTTTCACATACCCCGATGGTAGAAAAAGTCACGTTCCACATAGGATCGTGATTAATAAATATAGCAGGTGCGCCATTCCCAATGGCACTTCTGACTGAGTTCACTTATTTCAGACTTAACACTCTTCATCAAGTGTTACTTGGTTTTGACCATAATTATTCGTACAAGACGCGTCAGGAAGACATTGATATTTTAATGTGGTGGCGGGATCACACCTACCGCTGGCCCATACTAGCTCAACTCGCTCGCTTTGTTCTGGGGATACCAGCATCGGCAGCCGACTCGGAACGCAACAACAGTGTTCTCTCAAACACTTTAGGTAACGATCGTAGTAGAATGTCACCTAAGACACTAAATAACCTTACTCAGATCTTCTGGCACAATAAGCGCCACTCAAAAACAAACACCAAAAAAAACAAGTAGTATCATTCCGTATGGTTTGTGCGTTTGAACATATAATAAACATTGTATATGTAAGACTTGGCATGTACATGCAAATTTTGATATCTGATGCATTTATATGCACTGTACTTTGATTACACATCAAATGCAAATACATGCACTCGATGATGTAACAGCATACGTAATATAGTCTACTTGTGACACATGTATGTTGTATTGTGTTTGTCTATTACAATGTTATGCATGTGCGCATGAAATACGTATGTACATATAAATGCAAATGATGCTATGATGCATTTATATGCATGTGCGCATGAACTACATACGTACATATAAAAGCAAATAATGTTATGATGCATTTATATGCATGTGCGCATGAATAACATATGTACATATAAATACAAATGATGCGATGATACATTTGTATGCATGTGCGCATGAATTACATATGTACATATGATGCTATGATACATGTGCGCATGAAATACACTGGTACATGTAAAAACAAATAATGTATAATAGATAATGTAAATTAAAATAAAGAATTCAAATAATAGTGTTTAATAAGCTTTATTGTTTATTCATAAGTATACTGTTAGATCATCGAATGTCTTTCTATCATCCTTTAGAATTGGTTGCCGTTGTGTTGAATAGTGGGTCTCAGACTAAGAATATGAATCCACATAACGCTCTTTTAACCATTACAAGTTAAGTTTTCCGAGTATACAGGCTGCATGACAGTTTGCAAGCAGTCTTGCGACGATATATAACCTCCCGTACCAAGAGACCTAAGACAGGTCTCTTGGTGTGCACAAATATTCGGAAAACCATCCCAAATTCCGGTTCACAGAACTTGCTTTCGAATCCACAATAAATATCCACCACAATATATGTTTATAAAAAAATAGTGTAGACTGTGAACGAGTGGCATTATATCGTGGCGATTTAGACACGACAACAATCGCAGTGCGGCCCTTGGTTTAGATTACTTTCTGTTTCCGTGATCATTGCAAACCTACATAAATATATGTCTCCTGTATACATTCTGAGGGCGTAATTAATGTAGGTGAACTTTACATTTAGAACGCTGTAGTATCCAATAAAATATTCACCAGAATATTTCAGTACTATAACAGCGACATATATCTCATTCACATTCCTTAATTATTCACGGGTCGCTGATATAACAAATCCATCCATTTCGAGTGTAGACCCTCGTTTAAGTTACACATTTTGACCACTGAGCGAGAACTCTACTGCCACCTCGCGGTACTGCTGAATACATATGATTGACTCTGATGTCGCACCCACATAGGCTACACTCAATAGGTTTGCCTTTGAGCGTCATGCACGCACTGCAATAAAGTATCTGAGCATATACTGCAACAAAACATCTGCGCATACCTAGAGTACCTTCTGTACAAGCGTGTAAACTCAAAGTGCTAGTGCTCGCTTCTCATTTTCAAATCAACTCAGGTTTTCTGTGGCAACTTCGCATATCTGTGTAACCTCCCCAGGCAAATTCATTTATACCAATTATATATTATAGTTTCTCACCCACTCACTAGTATTTGTGTGATGTACGAATTCAATGAGATGGCCGCGGCTCCATCAGTCATCCATTGTAGCACGCGTGAATATGTCTTTGAACACTGTGGGCAACGTTTCGGTTTCTTCGCACACAAATCCATGACCGAAGGGAAGCCCATTGATAAGATAATCGGCTGCACCCTGAAAATACAGAAGATAAACATCTTAATGTTTGTAGTTTAACACAAGTATAGGAGATGAATCATATTACAATTCTGTAGCGTGCTGGTATGATGGAATCTAGCCAACGCAAGCGAGAGTACTGTATGCGTACACTAAACCAAAGCTAGAAACGGTTTTGAATGCTTTACTTATCGATGATATCACACACCACATGTCTGATAGTATTTTTCAATGACCAAGCTACAGACCACAATCTCGATACTACTACCATCAATATGTCGAGACATACCCTTTCGGCAATAAAAATGGCGTACGCATTGACCCGTTCGTCCTTGGAGAGAATGGCCCCAAACGTGGTGGGAGTGATGTCGTATCGACCGACGTTAGCGTCGCTTACGACAAATACGTAGTAGTCATCCGCTTCACGATAAGAACAGTAGAAAAGGACACACATTCATGAGTAAGAGATCGTTGATGTGGGTTTATCTTTCAATGAACACAGTACACCAACAGTTTACAGACAATATAATATAGTGGTGTAAATATACAACGCAACATTTATCGTGAAGTGTGGGATTATAAACGCAACGGATGCAGTAGCCACACAGAATAACACACTAACATCGTCAAGTATACATCGGTGCATGCCTTAACCACACGGCCGTCTACTATTCACTTCCAGCTTTCCTTGAGCTAAACTCCGGCAAGGCATGTGCGGTGTCAAGAATTGCGACTGCATATACTATACACAAAGCGCCTGGCCTGATTCACAATTCGGTCTGCTTGTGCAAGTGATGTATTATTCGAGCGTTCCACCGACCGAAGTAGCGTCGATACAATTCCCTTGATGATTCAAGGCTGACTATGAAATACACTAAATAATCCCCACATGGATATTGAATAAATACACACACCTTCCTCGGCTGTCACTTCTTCCACAGCTATACGTGCCGCATTGAGCGTATTATCACCGCTGAAGCAATAAATAAAGAGGATATAAACTAAACGCATTAGACAATACCGCTGCTATTGCAGGACTGTTAGTCTCGCTGACAGAATTGTGTTTGTTAGCAGCAACAATGGCATATACGATACTATTAGAGAAGTCTTATGCGTGAAGTGTTGAAGATATGGACATTGACGCATCATGCTGTGGTTGAGTGGTGTAAATATTGATCCAATGCTTGGACCTTGTGAAGTTTACTTTATCGAACGAATCAGATAGTGTGGGAGTGGTGGGTGATTTTTTTGCGGATGGAAAGACGGGGATGATACATTGAGAACTACTGTATTCGTGAATGGCGGTGAAGAAATATTTAAGCACTAGTGGGTATCTCCTCGGTTGTATTGATTCAACGTACTATGGTGGCACAAACTATCATATGTTGTTGGAGGTATATACGAAGTAAATCACAATGGGGTTCTGCTGTTTAAGCGCTTGTATGTATGACTTTGACGAATATTCGTTTTTGCCAAGAAACCTCCAAGTAGTACAATAAATGAACCGTGTGCTGCTGAATATCTACAGAAGTCACGTGATCATCACTATGACAAATGTGAGTAAACACGTGCGCTAAATGGTGTTTGCATAGAGCACTCGTAAAATTGATCGGAGCAATCGACACAGATACAGTCAAGCTCAGGCGGCATATTGATACAATGAATGTTGAAGTAACGTTCAGGATGAGATATGCGGTAGAGAAGCTAGGAGTGTCGACTTGAGAGAGAATCTTGGTATCCGCAGCCAGTAAACATAAGGAATGTGTTTGGAAGAGCAATGATACATCTGTGCGATACTACAGTATATAAATATTTGGTGTTTACAATGGAACAACGCAGCGAAGGGAGGGAGCAGCAGTATGCACAAAAACGTCTTTCCCGCATATACACGCAATCTGGGTACGGAACGGTGGATACATATCTTAACGCTATCAGTGGTACGCGAGCACAGTATTTACTTAGCTGATCGCTACAACCAGTTAAAATGCACAGGCAGTTGACTCTTGCGTCGTATACACTTACATCTACATCTACTACTACTACTATATATATATATATATATATATATATACACATACATACATACAACATACATACACACACACACATACATATAGTTAGAATACAGATGCACATCCTGACGCTAATATGCAAACAGCCCTAACCTCACGGATCCTCCGGCGTATCCGTACATCTTGCTGACAACATCCATTCGCTCGTTCTCATTGGCCGGTGGTTTACCATAGGCCACCAATGGAATGGTCGGAGTGGATCCGGAATGTCCCACAATGGAGTAGTGGTATTTGTGCTCCGAGCCAGCGAGACTCTCCATTACCATAACCTGTGTGATCGTTGGGAAAGGCAATCATTGACGGTCAACAAGCATAAGTCTATTTGTGCGAATAATACTCAAAAGGCGAATACTGGATCGTGCTCAATCGAAAACTGCATTCCCCATATCCGAGGTGGCTATCAGAAGAGACATTGACGGGTGAGGAACAAGGAGAGGATCATAACGCATACATTTTTGCAAGTTTTCATCAGACGCAGTACATACATTCTACGGTCAGGCGACCACAACTATAGTACGTCCCCAAAACAATATGTGACAAATGCCGTCGTATCGGCAACCCAGCCCAAACGCCTATCTCAGTCTTTGCCCTAGACATCAGAACATCGCACTCACACCGTGCATTATATACACACCGCACAACAAATGCCCAGCACACATATCATCAATGTATCATCTGTACGACAAAAATCATAGCATCGGCGAGTTTATCTACATCTTACCTCGGTCATGCCATTGGTCACGTCACAGTATACACATGTCTCACAACATATGCACAGTATGAACAGTATCAAAAATTAACTTGTACATAACATTTAATGTACGATATGTCTTATATGACACATATTTTATATACGACACATGTGTTGTACGTCATATCTTATATGAGACATCTTGTACGAGATATCGAATACGACACAAATCTTGTACGACATACCCTATATGACACATATTGTGTACAGTATATTATATACGACACATGTCTTGTACGACATATCTTATATGACACATATCTTGTACGAGATATCGAATACGACACAAATCTTGTACGACATACCTTATACAAGACATATCTCGTACGAGATAATTATATGAGACATATCGTGCACGACACATCTCGCTCACACCTAAAACACAGTGCATACATCGGTAGCGTATCTCAATATACGCTACATACCATCGCATCGGCAAGCCTATCTAACCGCTTATCCCAGTCATTGAAACGAGACATAGACGCAGAAAGGTCCACTACAAATGCCATCCGCTTGGGTTTGGCTTGGTGCAGTCCCATTTGCTGATCTGGCTCACCCCGTCGTTTGTATATGTTCTCTTCACCCAGAAGACCGTCCTATAAATTTAAATGAATCTCAGATTTATATATATATTTGTGTGTATGTGTGTGTATTTGTACAGATGTACGTATATGTGTTTGCGTACATCGTTTGGAAGTATGCGCAAACGGATATATAGAGGTATAACCATAAATTTACATGTCATCGAGAGGAGAAAATTTCGGGTATACACATCTGTATATACATATACAGAATCAATTTTGTACGATCTATATGGTAATCTGTATGGTACCGAGGTGAGAAGAATGGATAGCTTTGGGGGGGGGGGAAACAGTGCCCTATAGACTGGATGGCTATTCGGATAAAACACCAAACCAGAGCATCATTATTGATAAGCATTTTAGGCCTAAGTCATGAAATGGAGTAGTTCTGATTCCGATTAGATGATGATACGCAGCTGACCTGCAGGCAACTGTCGAACTATATTCAATTGACCATGTTCAAAGTACAGAAACTCCTTGTAATTACAATATCTGATACTTCGAAATACTTCACGTTTTGCGCGTATGTGTAGTTTTAGTATATATAATATTTATGTAGTTATAGCATATAGGATACTTGGGTCAAGGATTTCTTGAATCACACCTTCTCGATATCATAAGACTCTACAGAGTGTATCTCATCTATCCTTGAAATCTCCTACACCGATACGGTCCATTCTAACGCTATGCATTGGTTAATGTATTCTCAACTATAAAAAGATAACAAGATAACATACACGTCTTATACGCATAATTTAGTCAGACATGCGCTAAGGTGCATCAAAGAGAAACAATGGTCGGATATATCAGTCAATCAGTAGCTAAGAACCAACCAGATCACCTTGGCTCTGGTTGTGTGTCCGCATACAGACAATCACATACCAAACTCAACAGATCCACATCATCAAACACATAAGTGCAGATGTACAGAATATGAAATGTTGACTAATTCTATCATCTACAACGAAGACAACAGAGTAGCCATCCACCAGATGCCTGGCACTGTTTTGGCTGCTTTGATTCCAACTGTTAGTCCGCATATGTATAACATAAAACAATACAACCCCCACCGTACACTTATCTATCAAATGCAAACACTCACACACAACTATTATTTGTTTGCGCCTTGAATGAGTGCCTTCAACTACACCGATGGTATGGTAGTCTCCACCTACTAGTAGTTTGGCATCATCCAGGTCGCCCTGGTTCTGGTTGTTAATCCACTCTCGCTCCTTCTCTTTCGCGCGAACGCTTTCCAGCACCACCCGCAGCTGCTTGATGGGCCTTTGCACCACTTCGAGAATGTTCTGGTACCTCCCGTGAATGTTCTTTGTTTTCTTCATCTTCGTCTATTTAAGGTGGGAGTTAATGCTGTGATGAGGTGCATGCCATTGACTGATGTCTCTCAGTATATTCTCCTGAACCTATGTCATCGTTTGTGTAACGTAGAAGCAATTGCTTATATCCAGCACATGGTAGTGTGGGAAAGCTTAAATTTGTAAAAGAACCAGAACTCCACACATATAAGAAAAACTTGATATGCACATAACAGGACAATTTTTTTTTGTAGATCGATTGAACATCATGTATACAAACAAATTTGCATTTGCCCCTATACAAAAATACTATGTGTAATAAATACATCCTTTTACATAGGAGTAGGTGGTAGCCACATACATAACACAAACACTTAAACACATACACACACTAACTCACACAGATATATATATATATATATATATATATATATCTATATAATATAAATATAGATATAGATATAGATATATATATATAACTATGTGTATATATATCACAATATATATGTATAAATATCACAATATATATATATATATATATATATATATACATATACATACACATATATATACATATCTATATCTATGTATATGTATATGTATATATATATATATAAATATTTGTTAAATCACGTCTGATTGCTGGTTAGCAAGTAAACTTTGGTACATATATAACATTCGTTATATATATATATATATATATAGGTATTCGAACATTCAAAGGTGTACTAGAAAGACAGGACTCTTACCAACTGCTTCCGAACCTCTGGGTCAAGAGCTTTGAGAGCCATTTCCTGTACCTCGGCAGCATCGTGGGTCTCGTCCAATTGGATTTGTCCACTTTTTGATAAGAGAAAATAAATACGTCGCGGATCTAAGTGACAACGGTGCTACATACACACAAGAAAAAAGGTAGACTTTCTCACACAGGTAAGCGGACATGGAACCCATTTATCAGATGAGTGCGTGCAACAGATGTAGTTGACAGTTGTACAGGTATACAATGAGACAACTTATAGCGTAATTCGCATACGTGCAATATGCTTGATACAGCGTGACGTAGACAACGGTAAAGACACTATGTACGTCCTTTTAGGAAGCAAATTATAAGAGCACAATTGTGGCGAAACTACAAACAACAAAGGCTTTGCCATGCTATAGAATCGATCGTACACTGCTTCAGTAGGCAGCTCAACGTTGAGCAAGTATGCACACACAACTGTTGGTCTCTAGCGATAAACTTATACACTTACGTATACTCTTTCTAGAGCACATACGCACTATTTATCAATCTACGAATATATTTAATGAAGATGCTCGCACACTCTACACGCCCCATTCTTTGAGATACAAACCTGTCGTCGCGCTGATAGCCTCCAAAGCCGTCGCTTTTTTTGTCGGCGCCCTCGCCTCCACCAGCCCCTGTACCACTGGCACCACCTTCTCCACCCCCACCACCTGCATATGAAAGTATTGAGAAGTTAGTATGTTTATTGCGTTTAAGTAGGATGAGTTGTGCATGAGGATTAGGGAGGGTTGGGTAGGTATGTGAATTGAAAGGGATGGTGTATGTGTGAGAATCAAGAATGGTAGTTTATGTAAGTGAATAAAAAAGGGTTGTATATGGATAAGAATTAGGAAGGGCAATGGTATATGAAAAACGTATATGTGTGTGAAACAAAAAGCGTAGTCCATGAATGGTGGTAAATATGCGTTACATCAAGGTAGATTGAATATGTATGCGGAATATGTAGGATTTACATATGAGAGCTAGAGAGGATGTTCATTTGGAGATTCAAGAATTGTATATATACGTTCATTGAGAAGGGTGCGAGAGCAAAGATATAAGATAATGACAAATTGTAATATGTTAAGAAGAAGTACTAATGTGTGTGTTATGAGAACTCGCCTGTGACATTTATGCTAATTTTTCCACTCACAAACACACACACACACACCTCCGGCCACCTCTAACAACATATATCGACAAAGGTGCATTGTATTAAAAATTTAAGAAATTATGACAGAAAATATGATTGTAGATATGTATAAACAAATATATATATATATATATTTATACGTATATATATATATATATATGTATATATATACATATACATATATACATATAAATATATTTATATATATATATATACATTCATATATGTATATATGTACATATATATATATATTATATATACATATAGATATAGATATATATATATAATATATTGGTATATATATATATATATATATATATATATATCTATATATATATGTCTATGTACATAAAAGTTGAAATATTTGTATACACATTTGTAGACGTCTGTACTCTGGACTGTAGAACATACCTCCGCCACCTTTCTGTGCTTCATCGCCGCCACCGCCCGTTCGTCCAGCGCCAGGCATGGCTCCCATTTTAGAGCGGTTTTTCGGATTAGCTGGTTTTACATTTTTAGAAGGATTCAATGTGCAATATATAAGATATTCGATACAATTTGGAGTCGTGATTCGTGTCATTGAGACTTTGACCAAGCAAGAAATCGAGACATTCCATTCAATTGTAATGCTGTTTCATATTAGTTGCGGCTATTGTTTCAAAGAATCAGATGTGTGCCAAATACTATGCTTACCTAATAATTTCTGCACAAACAAGGTAGTTTGCGACAAAATCAGAGCGCACCCACCATAATGATCAATCTATTTTAGTGATTTCAAGGATCAGCTGAGCTACGACTGATAGAGGGTTTTTCAGAACGCATATATACACATTTCAAGGAATGAAAAGCATGTGATAATCCAAATTAACTTATATCGTGCTACACCGCGAGTCTGAAATTTTCGGATGGGATGGGGGAATTATCGGAAAAGTATCAATTTCTAGAGGCTGAAACTTTTGGATCTCAGTAAAACAGACACATCTCGATGTATGTGCGATATCTGTTTTGTCAGGTGCCGATCCTAATAGGATTGTACCTGTCTAGGTTAATAAATTGATGAAGGAGAGTACTATATTTGGAAACTATTCAGAGCCAAAACCAGTCGTGCTATCCGTTAGTACGAGATTCGCGGGCTTACGATGCCAAGAATATCAATATCGAAAAACAAATACTGCAAATGAATCGGAAAACTATGGATGTGCAATGCGCGTGTTTGGTACTCAAACTGTTACAATTTTGTACGTGTGCGTAAACAACGTACCCCAACATGCTACAGGGATATTTGCAACCGCGAATCAATTCACAATTGAATATGCATGAGATTTTTCCACCAATGTGTGCGCGTGCTTTCATGCTTGAGTGCTCCCACGTACTTACAGACAGATGATTCCTTGCCGTGTATGTTGTGTTCGGGTTCTTCTTCGGTGATGCTGAGTGTTAGTGGCTGGTTGTGCTGCACTCCCATCATGGTCATCCAAGTGTCGAGCCCATCCCTTTGAGTAGATATAGTTAAATATCGATATGGGTATATATATAGATATATATATACATATAAACACACACACACACACACACACACAACATATATATATATATATATATATATATATTAAACAAAATGCGACACCAATCTGTGTACTGCGGGTAGTATGGCTGTGACGATGACTATAGTTTATCGACGGAGTCTCTATATTCTTGGCATATGAAGTCGACTCTCCTGGAGGTTGGTGAGTGTCTGCGAGGTCCTAGTAGTTTATGTCCAATGCATATCAAAAGTGTTCATGTGTGTTGGTGTTATGCATGTACATGCCTTGAATTCTGCAATACTTGGCTCGTACCACCGACTTGTAATACTTGCATAGGTCCATGGTCGTTACCAGGACTTCTGACTACGTACACCGTGCTTTGCTCCCCCGTGTGTCATGGGTGCTTCTATGGGAGCAAGTTGTGTAGGTAGGTAATCTGCTTTGTATCGTAGCTGCTTACCATCGTGCACACATGCGCTGGCGAATGCCTCACACATCTAGACCCCCCTTACACTTCGAATGTCCACTACTGCACAACACACTCTCCACGGTTGGGGGTATGCTGCTATATTGTTTTGTCGTATCTTTCGCACAGCCTGGCATTTTCCGCCTGTGCAAACAATTATCCTGCATTCCATCGTATAATACTACACACACACACACATGCTTATGTTGTGCGTACATGTTCATGCACTGTACAACACACACATACTTTAACACATCCTCGTCGACTTCCCACATGCGCACATATCCACTCCGCTGCACAGTCACTACCTGTCCCATCTGCTGATGTAACCATGGTAGTGGGCTCAGGCCAGCCAACGGATCCTCTTGGGTGTCCTTGCCCTCAGTTAGATTTTGTTCGTTCCCATTGGTTGCTATATTTAGATACCGCAGATGATTGGATGCCAGGTCGACGACGCTGACCTTGTCGGGCGAACCAATCAGCGCAGAGACTGTGCCCTGAGGACGACGACGAGAAAAGCGTGTAGGCCACAACACATCCACATATCCATAGATAGGAGGCGAGTGGAGTTGATTCAGTTAGAGATGAGTGATGTATTGTTTGGCGTTGGTTGGCAAAAGAAAGGATGGAGTGGTGTGTTACAGTGGTGTATGGTGTTGTACAGTCGACGTATACTGTGTGCGTATTGCGCTCTAGAGGCAATCTGGTATACCTGTAGGTATGTACAGCGAATGTACATTCATCACACTCAGCTATACCGTAGCCGTGCGAGGGGTTCACTGTTCATGAGAGATGAATATATCCGCCGCTGTTTTGCAGTATGCGCGTGGAAGAGCTATTTTTCGTAACAATGCAACGACTTCCAGGAAGCGTCCCTTTGTGTTTGCAAGTATGACAATTCAGGCACTGTCCTTATAGTATATTGCAGACCAAGAATGACTCAACATAACAGCCAAGCTAAACATTCTCGCACGCTATACACTACCAGTGCTGAGTCCACTGATGTATGGCCACCAAAATGTTAGTCAAAAGCCATCAGGTTTAAGCCATGATTTGTCGGGGCAATATTCTGGCTCAATACAGGACACCGCTTCCTACACGAATACCTTAAACGTATATATATATATATATATATATATATATATGTGCGCATTCACATCTTCTCCAATATCATACCCCCCAATAGACATATGCACACACTTGAACGTACCTGCATATTACTTTGGGGCATTCCGTGTGTGTGTAGTGCAAGGAATGTGGCTCCGTCCCATGCGGGCGGCAAGTCCGCGCTGGAGATGTCGTGTTTGTGTGTGACAAAGGTACGCGGTGACGCGCTACTTGAATCCTGAGCCGAGGATAGAAGAGCCAGAAACGGGTCAGAAGGACAAGAACGGGCCCAGATACACAAACCAGGTTTTTATGGTTTATGTTAACCCGGATGCCCGGACAGAGGTCATGGAAGTGAGGCAGAAAGATAGATTGGATGCATACGTAGACATGTGAGACTACAAAGCCTACCCAAACACGCAGACAGACACACACAATACCAACACACACCTGAAGTCAAATTAAACTCCCCTCCCCACACACATAAAACACACCCCCGAAGTCACACTAGAATGCAGACGGCCCTGAATGGGTTCGAGCCAAGCGCCGTATGTCTCATGCGGAGCGGCCAATTCTGTTGCCACGACCGAGTCTTCCCACTCGCCCAACGGTTGGGCCAAAGTTCGCATCTCTGTATGGAAACAATGCGTTGGGTGAGTCGCAAAAGTGTTTGAGAGGAATTTCGGCTCAAAAGTAAGTAAGTGTTGCAATGATATGCGAGATTGGGTACAAGAAAGATGAACCAATATAGCTCCGTTGCTGATATGATTTTCGATGCACTGCAGTTGTGCCAAGGTTACGGAAACTAAAACAAAGGTACCGCGCATATTCCTATACTTAGTAGTTCACCCAACACACTATCTAACAATTTACCAGTTGTCTACGAGCTCGTGTATGGCACTATATATATATATATATATATACATATACATATATATAAAGTGATAAAAATATATTCATAATAGTTCCTGCATCCTCTTTTTAATAATACAGTAATAGCACATATTGCACATATCGACCTACCTTTAGTTTCGGTGTCGAGCATCACAATACCGCCTCCAGTAGTGGTAATCGATAGCATGTTGGCGCTATATACAACAGAAAAATAAAGTAATTGAATGTTAATATATATGTATCTACTAATGTTAATATATACATCATGGTTGTATATGGCTACTAATGTTAATATATACATTTCGGTTGTATATGGTTACTAATGTTAATATATTCATCTTGGTCGTATATGGCTACTAATGTTAATATATACATCATGGTTGTATATGGCTACAATTGCTAATATATACACCATGGCTGTATATGGCTACTAATGTTAATATATACATCATGGTTGTATATGGCTACTAATGTTAATATATACATCATGGTTGTATATGGCTACTAATGTTAATATATACAACATGGTTTTATATGGCTACTAATGTTAATATATAATCATGGTTGTATATGGCTAATAATGTTAATATATACATCATGGTTGTATGTAGCTACTAGGCCCCTGTGCTCACCATAATGTGCACAGAAGCACGTCTCGGGACCACAAGTGCGTGACTCGCACAAGTGCATGTTTGTGTGCTTGTACGAGTCAGTTCGCCACGGCACGAACCTACAACCCAAGAGTCGATATACGATGAATTGAGGGCAAATACAATGTTCATGCGACGCCAACGGGGGGTGTTGTTTTAAATGGACGGCAAAGCAGGTCTATACATAGTATACATACGCGAATGTGAGTGTGTAACGAGAAAAATTGGGTAGCTGCTGGGGTACGGTGAGCTGGCACTACATAATGGAGAGCACTTCAGATATCTCCGTCTAAAGTAGGACTTATATAACAGAACTAGATACATGGCTGACATTTCGCCAGTCCTAGTTTTTATTTTAGTTATAGTGCAAATCATTAGGAAGTTGGGGTTGATAGACGGTAGATTCGTGAAACCAAATCACAAACAACATGTACCTGATTTCCACACAAAAATCTTTGTAGATTGGACAGTAAGAAAACATACCCAATACGTATTACCTGACCTATTTTTGCACTCGAATTCGAGTAGGGCATCAATGAAATATCTCACATCCACTATACCTTAAGGATTTGACACTGGCCACGGCTTCGGGATTTCCTTCCAGATCCTCTACAAAAAAGTGCGACCATCCTGACGAGAAACACAGTCCGGGTTAGAATGAGATAGAACGAATGAGAATGATAGCCCAATCCCATTAACGTGTGCCAATGCACCAGTACAATCAGACAACGCATCCGCCTCCTCCCCTATTGTATGGCATTTGGTATGGTCGGGATTGCAGTCAGTATTACAATCAACTAGTTCGATGGTTGCGATTGTGCATCTGTACGCACACCTACACATGCTTGTATCATCGGCGTATGGTGCAATACGAAAACAGCGTGGTTCTACTATAAGTACACAACGCAGATAAAACTAATTTTAAGCTTATGGCTCTTTGAGATACAATCTTTGAGATACAATCTTGAAATAGAATGGCACACTTCACAAATATCCACATGACCATGTGTGACATCGATACAGTTGTCATGTATTTTCAATCTACCACACAACTTACTTTCGGTCTCTAAATCCAAAACGAGAAAATCGGGTTTGCCTATCTCGTAAACACCAAAATTGGACCCAGTTGTCGGGGAGGCGAGCTTCAGATCTGTTTGTATGTTCAGGATATCAGACAAAATGTCAGCAAATATGTGCAATGGGAAGCAATCAACACCGTCGACACTTTCAATTAAACAGTCAGAGCGTCTAAATAACAATCAGGTCTCTCGTTATCGGTATCTGGGCATATAGAGATTGATGGTGTTGGCATAAGGTTTAGTAGTATCAAGTAGCGCTTTGTACGAGAGCTAGACGGTATGTTTAGCATCGAGTCCTTGTACACTGGACTAGCTAGGGGGATGTGCTTCTTGATTTGATGATAGTACACCATTTAATACACATCTGTGAAGATCATATCTGCAATACGAAAAGCAATACATATACACAACGCAGCACAATAGCTCGTGCATCCCACCCTCTCACCCCCCACACGCGCGCAAGCATATATACACACACACAGTGCAAGTAAATTGGAAGATAAGTACCACGTGTGTTGTCCGTACAGCGTCACTCCCATGGAGATACAAATCATGTCCATGCACACCCGTATGTATTTACTATAATCAAATGGCGTGTATATTCCACTCTCGAGTGTGCAAATAGTAGTAGGTAACGTATGCTGATATAAAACATAGTTGTAAAAGCGGTATCGCTCTCCATACGGTCCCGCCTGAATGGTGCGTGTATGAGTACATACTCGTACTAAACACCTGATGAAAATACCCTGTGTTATATTACACCCGTATATATACCCTCGGATGTACCTACATATTTTGCATACAGGGAACTTTACGAACTGTGGTGTCCTATATTCCCCAGTGGATGTGTACCTGACCATGTCTGATTGGACGTGCATACTGTATCATACTACGCACCCTACGACGCATTGACATCGCTTGAATGTGAGGTATATAGTATATATACCCTCCACAATGTACCTGCATGGCTCGTACATATACACCGGATTGACAAGATTGGGTGTTCTATAAGATGCCAGTGCATGTGTACCTGTTTGTTTGGGCCGTGCATATAGCAACTGCATCCGCACAGGCGGCCCTCGGAATACGTCAGGCAATGTGTAGCCCACACAATCCCCAGTCCTGGCAGTGAAGAAGAAAGAAGGTATTATTTTTTTGAATCAGCATGCAACCAATTAATGGGTACCGTTGATGCAATAGATTGTATCAATGCGTGCGTGGAAATAGAATAGGGAATGCACATACAAATGGCAAATGAATAGTATGAGACATCGTGCCCTGGCAGCGAACAGAGCAGGAATGAGAAGATTGACTTGTGAGTTGTGACACGGGAACAGTAGCATCCACTAGTCTGGCATGACACGTGTGTGTATGTGCACTCTATTTGGTCCACACAAGCGCCCCATCCTGACAGTCGAAACGATGAATAGCTAGATCACGACGGTGCAATGGGAATGATATGAGTCATGCAAGTATAGACATGAGGAGATAAGTATACATCAACTCTAGGGGCATGAGGGGAAATGTGGACATCGTGTAAATCAGCTCTAAGCAATGTTTAAAACAGGTACGCATCAGAGAAAGATTCCTATGGACAGATATCTCAAGCAAAGTACACTCGAAACACACGTACAAAGGCGTGACTTTGAAGAGCTGGCTGGAAGGTAGGACCGACACCAACACACTACTCGAGGATACTCTCCCATCCAAGTCTTCGCTGACTGTTTGCGTATTCACAGGCACACGCGACAGCTCCGCGTCCACTGTGGTGGGGATGAACCCCAGATCCAAGTAAGCGCTCTCGGTATAACCTTCCCCATTGAGACTGTGCAGCGCCCAGGGGCGGTCTGGTCATGGGTATGTGTGCGTACAGTTAGTACCATCGTTTGGAACGAGTCGGCTAGATGTTCAGACTTGTATGGGGTAGTATGTAGGTTGGTACGTCAAGTTTTGCGACAGAGATCATCCGTGTGTGTAGTTTTGCAGGCCATAGGGTGTTTATCCAGCCATCTCGTTGAGTTTATGATTTTTGCGTTTGTATTTAAAAAATTGTGAAGCTCACATGTGTAGAGACCGCGAAAGAAATCTATGTAGTGGATACTGAACCGATAAAATCAAATCCCACAGCATTTGTGCCATATAACAGTATATTAGTGGAATATATGGGCAGCATCATCCACCCATATACTAGATATGGAATGAGAACCAACTATGATACAGACAAACATTGTAAAATGTGTACAAGTGGAAATACTATAGAGTTGCTAAACTACATATAGATATAACTAAAAATATCGATATAGATATTGATAGATACATATGTATATTTATACATACAGAGATCTAAACATACATATACATACATATAACATATACATACATACATGCATACATACATACATGCATACATACATACATATAACATATATATACATACATACATATACATACATACATATAACATATACATACATACATACATATACATACATACATATAACATATACATACATATATACATATAAATATTCAATATACATACATAAATGCATGTATAAATATATATAGAAATAAACATATATATATACATATATATATAGAAATAGATAGAAATATGTATATATATACATGTTCTATATATATATATATATATATTTATATATATATATATGTGTGTGTGTCGGTGTGTGTGTGTGTGTGT